AACTTCTCCCAAGTTGTGTTTTTTTTTAATCATGAATAAATATATAATTTTTCTGCAGCAGAAGGATTTTATTTTAACACAGATGCTAAAAGTTATTCCAGAATTTATTCAAATGTATTTATTTATTTCATTTCAGGTTCTTCATCTTGAACTTTGTCTCAAACACTGAGAGTCTCGATCTGGGCCGACTCGTCCCCGACATACCAGCGTTTCCCTTTCACTTCTGAGCCTGTTGAACTTTCTCACAGCCCGTCTCCTTTAAATAGAGCCGCTGTGTCGACTGAATCATAAAGCAAACACAATGTAAAGCCTCCTATCAGGTCTGGACTCAACCATGATGTAACGTCCGCGTCGCGTCTGAGAGCGATATGAAAGTGAAATCTGCCGAGTGTGAAAACAAAAATACCACGAGAGAGCTGTACAGACGGGACATGGGGGGGGGGATTCAGTCTCTGCCCACGTTATCGAGACACTGATTAGAACATGTGCAACATAAAGAAAACAAACTGGAGCGTGCATACAGCGTGTGCATGTAAGGCGGGCAAAGGGTTAACTTATGGCCGGCACATGAGCAGAGCTTCATTTCACTGCCAGATAAAAGCTGATGGAGGGACTTTGTGTGCGATATGAATCAGTCCATTAAACGTCTTTATTAAAGGATGAATGCAGGAACAAGCAGCTGCAGCTCACCTTGTTTATTCAGCTCCTCCATTTGCTCCTCCTTCAGATCCAGCTGATCGGTGAGACGGGACGCCGAGTCCAGAGCGGCGTTCGCTTCGTCCAGGTTTATCTGAAGGAAAGAGAGAACACTGTTGATGCTGCTGTCATGTAGAGCACAGCTCCCTGCACAAAACCAACTGTTATCATCTATTTTTCTTCATAATAAATGAGCTGCATTCTTCACACAGGTGCAACAAATACAGCAGTTTAAAATGCTGAGACATGAAACGTCATGACTGAAAGTACAGCCGCCACGATCACCCGCTGAACACGACATGACAGTCAAATTATTTCCTCGTATTTTGTTTTGCAAGAGGCTGATTCAGCACAAACTGATTCTTGCAACCTGTCCCTAAAGTGAGTCTGTGGAAACTGTGGGGGGTTAGTACGTCCCCACATTACGTCTCTGCAACATTCAGATTAAAGTTGAAACATCACAGGGACGTAAATATCATGGCTTGAAACGGCTCGAAGCGAGCAGGATTACAAACTCCACCTGGTGGACACAGCTGGTACTGAAAGAGACACACAGCTGCACACAACATGACAGTTGAGGACTCACTTAAAACATTTTAAAGACTATGAGAGGCTGCCTCTGAAGTATCTACCAGTGAAACGTGTATACTGGATTTTGTGATAACTGCTGCTTCAGTGGAAAGCGTCTTGTGTGTACAGTTTGGACAGTTTGGACTCTTTGATCAGTTGATGATCGCTGGTTCACCTGGAGTGCAGATGCCTGGTCTTCCAGCCTCTCAGCTTTTCTTCTCCACTCCTCTTTGTCCCTCTTGAGCCTCTCAAGCTCTGAAGAGTACATGGCTTTCTCCTCTGATGGGACGAGAGAAGAAAAAAAACAACTTTAAAATAAACAGAGTAGTTACAGTCTACTGCATCGCTCACACCAAGAGATGTGATCTCAGAGGGAAGAATCCACAGTGTTCATGTTGAAGGAGCTGACTTGCCTTGTTGAAACTGCTCTAGCACCATCTGCAGGTTGGAGAGCGACACTGCGTACTGGTTGACCTGCTCCTGTGAGGTCCGGAGATGTGCGAGAGCGTCGTCTCTCTGCTTCACCGCTCCGCTCAGCTGCTCCTGCAGAGACTCCACCTGCATGCTGGCCTGTTGGCTGGAGACAGACGATCGTTCAGGACACGTTCACTAAATCAAACCACAGAGACTTCTTTATATCTTATAGATTGAATAGTTCAGTTCAGGTATTTTAGGGTTCTTCTTGTTCTGCATATTTCTTTGTCACTGATCCACTGTGGCGTCTTCTCCCACTAACCTGGCGTTCTCCACAGCACTTGAAGAAGTTGCCAGCTTCTCGTCCAGCATGGCCACCCTCCTCCGCAGCTCCGTCTCCCGGTCCTCTGAAGAGACCGCCTCCCTCGTGTACGACTCCTCGATCTCTAACAGGTGATTACGCAACCTCTCCAGCTCCAGGTTGAGACGCTGTTCTTTATCTCTCACGTGCTGAAGCTGGGAGGAAAATAAAAAGAATGTTGTTGGTTGATTGTGATAAGAGACACGCTGCAGCTTCACCTCTAAAGCCTTCTGCACGCCGTCTGTCACTCAGATGTATAACTGCTGTTAGATTCTGCACTCATCACTGGGACCTGTATGAGAAGGTCGGTCGGCCTTCTCTTGAAGACACACCCTAACCCTTAACCCACAAATTAAATATTTTCAGGGCCCTCATCAGAAACTCTGACATCACAGACCTACATGAGCCGTTCTTCTGGTCCGCTCGTTCTTTAAGTCCCTCCAGCTCTCTCTGGACTCGGTAAATCTGCATTTTCTTTTGATGCCATAAACTAATGAAGCGCCCTCCAGCTAACTCTAAAGCTCAGAGTTCTTCCCTCTCTTGCAGAGTTTAGGATTTGGATTTCTAGCTGTTTGTTTCCAACTGTACGAGTTTTAATTGATCTCTTTTGTCTTTGTAATGGAATACATGTCTAGTGTTTTTGTTTGTTGTAAACGTGTCACAGTTACATATTGCTCCTTTAACGTGCAGTGAGTATTTTCTGTCCTCCTACCTCGGCTTGAACTGCCGTCGTCTCCATTTGTTTCTGCTTCAGCGCCATCATCACCTGATCCCTCTCCTGCTGGAAGGCCACGGCTTTGTCCTGCATGGACTTCAGTTTATTCAGGAGCTGATTCAGCTCGCCAGACTTACCCTGAACAACAAAACGACCAGCGTGTTAAACACATAAAGGACTAAAGAGAGCGCTTCTTTACAAACAAGGAAAAGATTCATTAGTAACAGAATTAGACAAACGACTAATAATGAAAATGTTGGTATTTTGAATTTGAGCATCAGACTCACCTGCTCTCTGTCCTGGAGCATCTTCTCCACAGTGGCGGCCTTCTCGCTCACAGCGCTCAGTTCAAACTCTTTCTCTCTGAGCAGCAGAGAAACCTGCATGTTGGTCTCCTGCAGCGCTCTGAACTCGGACTCTTTCTCTCGAGAGCGCGCGGCCACCAGCTCGTTCTCCTCCTTCAGCTTCTTCACGTCCATCTCCAGAATCAGAGCGCGCTCTTTCAGGTTTGTGACGGCCTGCTTCAGGACCTCGTTGTCGTTCTCTCGGTTGCGCAGTGCCTCGCTGACCTGACACAGCTGGTCTCCTTTGCTTTTGATGAGCAGGTCTTTCTCCCTCACAGACCTCTGAAGGGCTTCCAGCCTCTCTTTGACCTGCCGGGCTTCCTCAGCTTGACTCCTCTGCTCGATCTCTGAGGCATTCGCTGAGTTGGAGAGCCGGTGGTTGTTCTCCTGGATAGTCCGGATGGTATTTTCCCTCTCAGCTAATTGAGCTTGCAATCGGGCGAGTTCCTCCTGCAGTTTCTCAATATTCACTTCTGCTGCAGAGGTCTGCTGGCTCGGAGCTTCGGCTGTGAGAAGAGGTCCACTTGAATGAGCAGCTACGACTTCAGGAGTCTGCACCACGCTGTCAAGTTTACCCAGCAGGACGTCCTTGGTGGAGCTGAGCTTAGTGATGGTCTGCTGCACATGAGCGAGCTCCTGACTCAGACTCCCCAGCCTCCTCTCTTTCTGCTCGTAGCTCTGGATCAAGCGGCTGTAGTCCACCGTCAGCTTGGAGCTGCAGTCGCTGTCTTCAGAGACCTGACCCTGCAGCTTGATCAGCTCCTCCTGCAGCTGAGCCGACTCGTGCTGCATGTTCTTGACCGTGGTGATCACCTGCTGCTTCCACTCCTCCATCTTCTTTACCTGCTGCTTCAGCGTGTCCCTCTCCTGCAGCAGCTCCTCGAACTGGTTGCTGCTGACGCCTCCGGAGTCTCCTCCCCCCGACGCCTGCAGGACGGTCACCAGGGTCTGGCACTTCTGCGTCAGGGCATCGATCTCTATGTCCTTCTCCCGGATGATGCGGGACAGGTTCTGGATGGTCTCCTTGAACATCTCCTGGCTTCCCGAGGGGTCGCTCATGTTGGAGAGGCGTTGGTTCTCCTGCTGGAGCTTCAGCAGAGCCGCCTCCTTCCCGGCCATGATATCCATGAGGCGGTGGTAGTCTGAGCGCAGCTGGCTGTTCTCTCTGGTCTTCTCGTTGAGTACTGCTAACACCTGCTCTCTCTCTACAGCGTAGGCCTGTATCTGCTGCTGTAAATACATGATATCCTGGGCGTGTCCTCCAACTCCACCTAATGTCACTCTGGCATGAAGCGCCTGGATCTCCAGATCCTTCTGCAGGATCACCTGGGACAGTTTGCCCACTTCATCCCGAGACACCAGCAGCTGATCGAGCTGTCTGGTCAGGGAGAGGTTCTTCTCGTTCAGCTGACTGATCTCAGTCTCTTTCTCTTTGATGCCTCTCACCAGCTTCTCGATTTCCACCTTGGACAGGTCGTGTTTCTCGTTGCCGTTGTCCTGATTGAGAGTCTGTGTTTTCTCCTCCTGCAGGATGACGTCCCCCCGCACGGAAGGGGAGTCGGCTCGCCCTTGGCTCTTGCTGAGCTGATCCACAGTCAGCTGGAGGCGGGATATCTCGTCCTCTCGGGCGTGGATGAGCCTGTCGTAGTTGAGCGTGGTCTGCTGGTGGCGAGCGTGCGCCTGCTCGAGCTCGCTCTGCTGAGCCTGGAGGGAGTGCTGTGACAGGAGGAGAGAGGCCTGATGCTCCTCTAAGGTTCTCCTCAGAGTCTGGACCTCCTCCTCCTGTCTGTTTCTGGAGGATTTGAGCTGTGTGATCTCTGTCTCCAGCTCGGTGATGATGTCTAAAGTCCTGGGCTCGGACAGAGGCAGAGGTCTGCTCTGCTGATCCCTCAGTCGATCGATCTCTTCCTTTAAGTGACTGTTCTCCTCCTTCATGCCTCCCAGCTGTTTATCCTTCTCCTCCAGCGCCTGTCTGAGAGCATCCGCCTCCTTTGTCGCAACTGAAATACTGTTGTCCATCTCCGCCTGCAAATCGGAGGCGTTTTGTTTCAACGTATCCATGAAGACGTCCTTCTCCTGCAGCAAATCCGTCAGCTGTTTCTGCCCAGCGACTGTGATCGAAAGCATCTCGTTGGTGTCTCTGTGGTCGGACGCTAACTGCTCGATGTCCCTCTTCAGCTGAGAGATCTCCATGTCTTTCTCCTGGTTCAGTTTGATGGCCCTCTCGTGCTCCGTCTGCAGAGCTGAAGCGTCCATAGAGCGAGCGCGGGTCAACTCCTCGATGGTCTGCTGGTACTGCTTCGCCTGCTCTGTCAGCGTGCTCTCAGCCTGCCTCAACTCCCCCTCGAGTTGGTTTTTCTCCAGCTTCAGAGCTTCGATACGAGTGTCCTTCTCCCGTACCGATCGATTCAGAGACGTCTGGCTTTCTTTCATCTGCCTGTTTGCTTCCTCGCTCTCGGTTATCAACTTTCTGTTCTCCATCTTTAACTCGTAGTCCTCACTGAACACCTTCTCCTGAGAGCGCCTCAACTCATCCAACTCTCTCCTCAGCTCTGAGAACTCCCTCTCCTTCCCTGCTAGCATCTCTGTGTCTCCCTGTGCCTCAGTTCCCCTCTCCCCTGCCTGATCTAGCTTTGTTCTAGCAGCACACAGTTGCTCCTCTCTCTCCTGCAGCGTCTTCTTCAGCACTGTTGTTTCTCTTCTTGCCTCCTTGCTCTTCTCCTGTGCCAGTCCCAGTTTGTCTCTCAGCTCCTTCACTGTCCCTTCCAGCTGCTGTTTGCTCATGTGCAGGTCATTCAGGATGAAAGCACTCTGGCTAATTTTCTCCTTTTGGGTCTCCAGCTCTTGCTCCAGTTCTTTCTTCAGGTCTTTGGTCTTGCTGAGCTCAGCAGTCAGCCTCGTCATTTCTGCCTCGGCCTCCTTCAGCTGTCCACTGAGCTGCTCCTTCACAGAGATCATGTGCTGCAAACAAAGAGATTTAAATCCAAAAGTTAAAGTCAGCAAACTATTTCACTTTACTCTGTTATTGTTTGTTATGATGGGTTTCTTTTTATATATGTGGCATGGAGTTTAAATTCTGTAATAAAAGCAACATAGGCCTTAGAATGGTTTATAACTACGAGAAATAAAACATTATTATAAATACAAGACATAGGAGATGGAGGAAGAGCTGAAGAAGAGGAAGAAGTGGAACATGATGAAGTAGAAAAAGGAATTTTAGAAGAAAGAAGAAAAGAAAGTAGAAGGGAGCAAAGAAGTGAGAGATGAAGAGGAAAACAAAACAGGAAAAAGAAAAGTAGGAAAAATATAGAAAGACTGAGTTAACAGAAAAGAGAGTAAAAAGATTTATTCGATAAGAGAACATCATGATGCATGTGTGTGTAGGAGAGTTTGCATATTCATGTGTTCATGTGTGTTTATTTGAGCAGGATATGAGGGAGTGTGTGAAAACTATCTGACGTGAACTTTTCTGTTTTCACTTTGAACAGTTGATGATCTTTAGCTTCCCTTTGCAGAGCATGTTCTACACTGACCAACATCTTTATGATTCTTCATAAATAATAAAGACGGTAAGCTGTCGCTGTCATCAGTCAGACCTGTGTTGCTTCCTGGTTTTGCTGGTCTAGTTCCTCCAGCTCGGACATCAGGGTGTCTCGTTCCTCCTCGGTGTTCCTCAGAGCTTTTTCTCTCCTCTGCAGCTCTGCCTTCAGATCCTCCAACGACTCCCACTCACCAGACTCCTCTTCTTTACCACTTGATAACTGTTCCTCTGCCAGTTTCAGTCTTTCTTGAAGATCAAGCTGAGAAAACAATAAAAGCTTGTATTATTTTCCAGCAAAGGTTGGATCTCTTCAGCATCATCATTAACGTCACACAGTATCTTACAGACTGATAAACAAACAAACCTTTTCTTGTTCTACGACTTCTTTTTCTTGTCTCAGCGTCCCGATGATGGTGTTCAGTTCTAAGATGTCTGCATGCTCAACTTCTTCTTTTGGTTCCGCCTGATTAACACCAGACATTATAGAAGATATTCATCTGCTTTGTGTGTGAATATATAGTAAACATCATGCATGGTTACTGATTTATTTCAACTATTACCTCAGCCACGCTTTTCAGTCTCTCCATTTCTATTTCTGTGTCTGGAAAGAAGAAATGTTAGTTAATTAGGTTTCCTATGAAGGAGATCAGCGTGTTGCTTCATGCAGACGCTGTGATAATAATCTGGCATTGATTTAAGTTTACTACAATAAAAAAGAATAAACTTTAGAAAAGTGTCATTTTGACAGTTTGAATCATCATTAGTCTAAACTCTACCTGTGAGTTTTTTCCTCAGCACCTGGATCTCGTTGTCCAGCTGAGCTTTCTGCAGAGCCTTCCCCTCCTGTTCCTGCACGCGGGTCTGAAGCTCGGAGACCGACGCCTGCAGCCGCGTGTAGTTCTGCAGCAGCCCGACGTTCTCCTCCTGGACTTCTTCTTTCTCCAGCTGCAGCGAGGACTGCTTCTTCTGCGCCTCCTCCAGCCGTGCAGACAGCTCCTCCAGCTGCTCCTCCCGCCGGTCAGCTGCTTCCTGCAGGGAGCCCACGGTCTTCTCCAGGTCAGGCAGCTTGGAGGCGTCTGAAGGGGAAGCGGGTTGACTTCCACCTGCAGGAGACAAATGGAGGAGGGTGTTGAATGTCAAAGTTGACCTGATGCATAAAGGAGACGCTGACACCGCTTACCGCTCTGAATCTGCTCCTCCAGCTCCTCGATCCGCTCCTCGTACTCGGCTAACTCGTCTCTGTGTCGCCGCGTGATGTCGGCCAGCTTCTGCCGCTGAGCGTCCTGCAGAGCGGCCAGTTCATGCTGGTGTTCATCCACCTCTCGACTCATCTCCTCTCGCAGATCCTTTTCCGTATCAGAGGTAACAAAGGTTAGAGTCTCACACACAAAACAACATTGAGTTTGTTAACATGAAACTTGAGTGTCCCGGTTATGAGACTTGTCCTGGTTCTGATCATATTCAGGATCTGGTGTTGACCTGGTTCTTCACCTCCCTGGAAACATGATCAATACTTGTATCCTGTTTTATGATTACTGTGTCTTATTTGTGCAGGCGCCTGTGATGTTTATTTAACCGTGGAAATGTAGAAATCTGAGAACAAAGAAAGGCCGGGTTTCTTAAAATCAGGATAAGGATTTATCTGAAATCATGATACGATGTTTACATGAACAAACACAAAAACAGGATAGTTCAACCCTGGAGACTTGAGTCCATGTTAACACACTAATAAGCATCCATTAGTCATTAATCCCAGTCTTCACTCTTTTTAGATGGATTTCTGTCGACTCCTGAGAGAAGTATGTGACTTCTCATCCGCTAAAAGCTCCATTCATTTAAAGGTTAATAGACTGTTTGCAATGTGGTGCAGGTCAGGAAGGACGTTAGTGAAGCTACTCGACTGAAAACAGCTGAACTGACTGACAATGACGAGAGAAGTGGGGAAAGAAATCTTTAAAATGTCGCCTGTGAAACCAAAACGATGAGCTAAAAGACTCTAAAGCTCCTCAGAACATGAGAGGCTGGAAACAGGAAAGTGTGCAGCGTGTTACATTATTAAGGAGCAACTTTAAGATTTAGATTTTACAATGAAATGTTTTTCATTCTTACAATAAAGAAAAAAAAAAAAATCACCTTTATAGTTCTCTGAAGTTTGTGAATGTCGCTCTGGTCGCCGTTTCCACTTCCTGCTGCTGTTGATGCCTGAAAATGAAAAATGACATTTACATCAATACCTCACAATCAAGAGACACTTCACGTCCCGTAGCAGGAACTTTAACCCTGAAGGTCACTTTGGACAACATCACACAGCCATGTTTCTGCTGTATCAATGTTTAGTCCCGACCCCCTGGGTGAAGTCTTCACCAACATGTCGACCGATTCCTTTGACTTCTCCAGCAGATCATCATACCTGAGACATTCTCCTCCAGTGAGCCACCTCGGCCTCCAGACGCAGGACTTCAGTGGACAGCCTGTTGATCTCCTGCTGCGACCAGATGACGTCACTGAGGTCCATCTCGTCACTGTGGAAGCCCTGATGGGACCCCGAGGGCCGGGACAGGAACGAGGAGACGGACGAGGAGGTGGTGGACGAGGCGGACGTGGTGACGGGAAGCAACGCGGGACCGCCCGAGGAGGACTGAGCCGACTGCTGCAGCGTCTGGACCTCTTCCTGGAGTCCACTCTGCCGAGCTTTCAGGTGACTGATCTCCACCTGAGAACACAGAAACAAACATCAGGACACTTTCAAAGTAACACCCTGTCTCAACAGCACGGGAGCTTTAGATACAGAGTCACATCACATGGATATGTTTCATCCAGTCAGCATCTATCTGATTAAAAAAAGATGTGATCACTCAGTCACAGGAGCTTCAACTTTAATGAGAAAAGCACTTAAAAAGCACACACGTCTTTCTGCTGCAGGAGGGATCGGTACTCTGCAGACTGTCCTTTAATCTGGATCTCTGAGGCCTCCAGCTTCTCCTCCAGCTCTGCATGAAGCTTCCTCAGTCTGTCATACTGCAAAGAAGACACAGAAGGGGAGACAGTCAGTCACACACACACACACACACACACACACACACACACACACACACACACACACACACACACACACACACACACACACACACACACACACACACACACACACACACACACACACACACACACACACACACACACACACACACACACACACACACACACACACACACACACACACACACACACACACACACACACACACACACACACACACACACACACACACACACACACACACACACACACACACACACACACACACACACACACACACACACACACACACACACACACACACACACACACACACACACACCTCAGATTTCTGAGAGGTGAAAGCAGCTTCCACTTCTGCCAACCTGGAATTGGACACCTGCAGCTCGGTGGCAGCATCTGAGGTCACAGGGAGAAAAACAGCCAAGAACAAATCAGTGTGGACTCTGGTGGCCTTCAAGAAAGTGATGCAAACGTAAACCAATCAGTCCATCTCTGTAGTGACCCCTGGTTTAAAAATACAAAATAACACTTAAAGGAGCAGTATGTAACTCTGACCCCTAGTGGTTAAAATGGGTACTGCAGTTTAAATTCTAAACATCATAGAGAGCTGTCTCCCCCCTCCTCTCTAGAGTGGATGCTCACTCAGGTCACCATGTGGTGGACTCTGAAGCTTCAGTGTTTATCCAGCTCTTCTAGTTTATCAAACATGTGTTAGCATTCAGAGCTGCTAACTGGTCACATATTTCTCTCTCTATCTTGGTCACACAGATCTGTGTCAAACACACACACACGGCTGAGCACGCCGACACAACATTCAACATTCCTTACAACACAAACTGAGCTGCAGGCTAACAAAGCCCCAGTTTCTTATTGAAGGTCAGATAAGAGATGGATTTAAAGAAGGAAACAGCTGCTGCACTGCTCGGTGATAAGAATTCTAACTTTTGTTTTTTGACTGAAGCTGTGAGTTGGAGATCTGCGGCCAAAGTTCTCTTTACGTTGATGCTTTATCTCTCACTGTGTGTGTGCTGCCTGCAGACTGACACAGATGTGTTTTAAAGACAGAGCTGTGTTGATACAGACGGCTTTATTATGTTCACCACTTCAGAAAATAGGAATTAATGCAAATTTAGTATGGGGGGGGGGGGGGGGCTGTTTTTGGATGTATTGATTTTGGATTCAGGAGGGACATGCTGCAAACTCAGGTATTGCATAAAACATGAACAAAATGAACAAGGCATGACCAAACAGCAACCTCCAGTGTTGAAAAGTGAAGCCGATGCTGGAGTGTAAACTCCTGCAGTTCCTGGAGTGTCCACTAGAGGCTGGCTGCAGCAGCACAGGAAGTCACATACACACCCATTCTAAAAAGCCTGTTTTTACAGCAGAGATGAACATGTTTACAGCCTGGTTCAAAAAACCAAATAGGTGTGATTAGCTCATGTCTGGATGGACACACACTGTACGGGGGGGGAATGTTTTGATGACTCATCAGTTTTGATTTGATGAAGGATAAGAGTTATTCACAATAAGGCGTGTAGCTGACCTGATTGACAGGTGGGCGCGGTGTAACGGTTTGTCAGGAGGTTTAAAACCCGCCTCAGCTCCAGCTCTCAGCCTGTCGTTAGGTTGACTGAAAGTTAGACTGAGACAGCATTTCCAGCATGGAGACCGCCATCGATGGGACTCCAGCGCCCCCTGCAGGAACAGACGGGGGCGCCATCGATGGGACTCCAGCGCCCCCAACAGGAACAGACGGGTGATGCCACTCTGGCTTCCTCCTTATATATTTACAGTCTGTGGTCACGCCCCTGGATCGACCGAGCTGTGCTACTTTTTCCAGTGACTGATTTCTCCATATGTCAGTGGAAAGCCCTCCGTTAAGAAAGGTCGTAACAAACTAAACTAAATAACTGGTAACTTAATAACATTAGTGGCAGGAAGTAAAGTCCCAGGGAAGGGAGGGAGGGAACATTTGTGAAATATTTTGTCTGCACTGACACTGAATGAGGGAGTGACGGCATCGACTGAGAATGCTGGCTCGACATTTTACAATGAATAACTTAATTTTGATATTTTAGTTGTTGTGGGAATCTTACAACCAAAAAGAGACTCGAGGTCATTTGAAGTCAACTCCAACTCATGATGGGAGGTCAACCGTGAAAAACATTTTGACCCTTTGTCAGTCATCTTAAAAACACAAAAGACAGATCCATACTGCATTGACGTTTAAACAAGCTTCTTAAGAGGAAAAGAAGAAGAAACACTAAACAGGACAGAGTGCACTGCTCACACATGCAGGGTTGGGGTTTCCCCTGATTCCTCATCCCCTGACCTGTGGCTTCCTTTTCTCGCTGCATGTCACCATGATTCCTGCAGCCACAGCAATGTTTACATGGATTATTTACCTGACTTCAACATAATCAGTCCTCCCTGTGTCATCATCATTACAGTCGATAACGCTAATATAAGACTGATCAGTTTATTGTCACACGAAGCCGTTACTGCTAATACTACACATTATATTTCATTTCTTTTTTTTTTTTTTTTTTGTTCCGTACATGTCAAAACACACAACAGAAGAAAAAAGAAAAAACAATTCACAATTTATCCCATGTACGGAAAGGAGCAGGGAGGCCCCCTTACTCAAAAAGAAAACACTAAATGTCTGGATGGTCGGTCCAGTTACAGTCAATGAATGATTATCATGCCAACATAAAACAAAGCTGATGATTCAGTCTTCACTTTCTCAGAAATAAGAAGGAAAACACACAAAACACACTAACTGCCAATTTCATACAGTCTGATAACTTTGTTCTTAAGCGGCAGTAGTTCAGTCTGTAGGGACTTGGGTTGGGAACCAGAGGGTCACCGGTTCAAGTCCCGGTGCGGACCAAGTATGAAAGTTGGTCTGGTAGCTGGAGAGGTGCCAGATCACCTCCTGAGCACTGAACCCCAAAGGCACCAAACCCCCTCCCCACCACCAGGTCAGGAGCGCTGGCTGTGGGCCGCTCCGTCACTCTGACATCTCTCCCTTAGTGCATGTCCAGAGGATCCTGTTTGTGTGTGTGTGTGTGTGTGTGTGTGTGTGTGTGTGTGTGTGTGTGTGTGTATACTCCAGCCTGTGTGTGTTGCATGAGTACAGAGTGTAAAAACTGAAATTTCCCCTCACAATGATCAATAAAGTAAATCTTCTTCTTAAACTGAAATATCTGAACACAACCCTTCAAATCATTATTTCACGAATTCCACAATTTAATTCCAATTTCAGAAATACATTTGTGTTTTAAAGTTGTCCTTAAACTGATGCTTTTACCATTATTACGGACACTGTGGTATGAATTCTATCTTTTGTTGTTGTTTTGTCTCCTTCCTGCATGTTTCCCCTCACAGCTCCATCAGTCTGCTCATCATGGCTCTGTTTCGTTGCTTGGTGCTCATGTGGAGTTGATGTTGGGTCTTTGTCGATGATAAAACACTGAGTGAGCTCTTACTGTGTCTTCAGATAAGAACTGGTGCTATGCAAATAAAGACTGACTGATTGGTTGTTCTGGTTGTGTTGATGTTGGGTTTTAATGCTTTGTTGTTATGTTTCTGCACTTTGTGAACACTTATTTTGAAAAGTGCTAACCCAATAAAGTTATTATTATTATTGTTATTATAAGTGAATATAATGTATGAGTGTGATTGATGAAGCTGCAGACAGACACTTACCTCCGACCTCCTCCACTCCCTCCAGCAGCATGTCTTTGGTGAAGTTTGATATCTGACCGGTGAAGGAGGACAGGCTGCCCCCCACCTGCCCCAGAGACTGACCGAGGCCGGACCCGATTCCCCCCAACCAGGACGACATCTTCAGGGGAGGAGCAGCCCGACGACACCGGACCAAAACAAAGCAGGGCCGAGGACCGAGGGGACCGAGGGGGTCGAGAGGACCGAGGGGGTCGGGGGGGTCGAGAGGACCGAGGGGGGTCGAGAGGACCGAGGGGGGTCGAGAGGACCGAGGGGGGTCGAGGGGACCGAGGGGGGTCGAGAGGACCGAGGGGGGTCGAGAGGACCGAGGGGGACCGAGAGGGTCGGGGGGGATGCTAACTAGCTTAGCTTAGCCTCCGGAGCTGATAACTTCGTCATGAAGTTCAGTAATGAACTCTGATTTTAAACTAAACTTTAAACTTCTTAAACTAAGTCTGTCCTCAGGCTGACAGCCGCTCTCTGAACACGGAGTCCAGATAATCACAGCTGATCGCTCACCTGGAGGAAGACGAGCTAACCGTCGATCTTTACACCTGAGCGGCGGTTAACTGACGTAACGGCTCCGCGGGAACCCGGATGAACCCACAGAAAGTTTTTCACTCGATGTTGATTCAGTCCGGAGAAACACAGAGTCCACAAAGTGCCACCTCAACTGCAGCCATTATCGGCTCGGCTGCGGCGACGGCTGTCAGGTTTGACGTGGACACAGAGAGCGGCCGCGGTGCATTGTGGGATACTGGAGGACCAACAAATCCAAAGATGCGTTCAAGGACCTCGGCGACTGTACGGAGGATTTCGCTTTCGATGATTTCTGTTTAAAAATGTGATATCCAATGCAATCTTGAACAATATGATACACACACACACACACACACACACACACACACACACACACACACACACACACACTAATCATGTTTTTGTTACAAATACAATAATTCCTTTGTATTTTAACAGTAATGCAGATTCTGCATATATGATGGTTCTTATGATGGTTCTTGTGTTGCCTGGGTTCTTATGATGGTTCTTATGATGGTTCTTGTGATGGTTCTTATGATGGTTCTTGTGATGGTTCTTGTGATGGTTCTTATGATGGTTCTTATGATGGTTCTTGTGATGGTTCTTATGATGGTTCTTGTGATGGTTCTTATGATGGTTCTTATGATGGTTCATGTGATGGTTCTTGTGATGGTTCTTGTGATGGTTCTTATGATGGTTCTTATGATGGTTCATGTGATGGTTCTTGTGATGGTTCTTGTGATGGTTCTTGTGATGGTTCTTGTGATGGTTCTTATGATGGTTCTTGTGATGGTTCTTGTGATGGTTCTTGTGATGGTTCTTATGATGGTTCTTGTGATGGTTCTTATGATGGTTCTTGTGATGGTTCATGTGATGGTTCTTATGATGGTTCTTATGATGGTTCTTGTGATGGTTCATGTGATGGTTCTTATGATGGTTCTTATGATGGTTCTTGTGATGGTTCTTGTGATGGTTCATGTGATGGTTCTTATGATGGTTCTTGTGTTGCCTGGGTTCTTATGATGGTTCTTATGATGGTTCTTGTGATGGTTCTTGTGATGGTTCTTGAGATGGTTCTTGTGATGGTTCTTGTGATGGTTCTTGTGATGGTTCTTATGATGGTTCATGTGATGGTTCTTGTGATGGTTCTTGTGATGGTTCTTATGATGGTTCTTATGATGGTTCATGTGATGGTTCTTGTGATGGTTCTTGTGATGGTTCTTGTGATGGTTCTTGTGATGGTTCTTATGATGGTTCTTGTGATGGTTCTTGTGATGGTTCTTGTGATGGTTCTTATGATGGTTCTTGTGATGGTTCTTGTGATGGTTCTTGTGATGGTTCTTGTGATGGTTCATGTGATGGTTCTTATGATGGTTCTTGTGATGGTTCATGTGATGGTTCTTATGATGGTTCTTATGATGGTTCTTGTGATGGTTCTTGTGATGGTTCATGTGATGGTTCTTATGATGGTTCTTGTGTTGCCTGGGTTCTTATGATGGTTCTTATGATGGTTCTTGTGATGGTTCTTGTGATGGTTCTTGAGATGGTTCTTGTGGTGGTTCTTGTGATGGTTCTTGTGTTTCCTGGGTTCTTATGATGGTTCTTGTGATGGTTCTTGTGATGGTTCTTATGATGGTTCTTATGATGGTTCTTGTGATGGTTCTTATGATGGTTCTTGTGATGGTTCTTATGATGGTTCTTGTGATGGTTCTTGTGATGGTTCATGTGATGGTTCTTGTGTTTCCTGGGTTCTTATGATGGTTCTTATGATGGTTCTTGTGATGGTTCTTGTGATGGTTCTTATGATGGTTCTTATGATGGTTCTTGTGATGGTTCTTGTGATGGTTCATGTGATGGTTCTTATGATGGTTCTTGTGTTGCCTGGGTTCTTATGATGGTTCTTATGATGGTTCTTATGATGGTTCTTATGATGGTTCTTGTGTTGCTGGGTTCTTATGATGGTTCTTGTGATGGTTCTTATGATGGTTCTTGTGATGGTTCTTATGATGGTTCTTGTGTTGCTGGGTTCTTATGATGGTTCTTATGATGGTTCTTATGATGGTTCTTATGATGGTTCTTGTGTTGCCTGGGTTCTTATGATGGTTCTTGTGATGGTTCTTATGATGGTTCTTGTGATGGTTCTTGTGATGGTTCTTATGATGGTTCTTATGATGGTTCTTGTGATGGTTCTTATGATGGTTCTTGTGATGGTTCTTATGATGGTTCTTGTGATGGTTCTTGTGATGGTTCTTATGATGGTTCTTGTGATGGTTCATGTGATGGTTCTTATGATGGTTCTTATGATGGTTCTTGTGATGGTTCTTGTGATGGTTCATGTGATGGTTCTTATGATGGTTCTTGTGATGGTTCATGTGATGGTTCTTATGATGGTTCTTATGATGGTTCTTGTGATGGTTCTTGTGATGGTTCATGTGATGGTTCTTATGATGGTTCTTGTGTTGCCTGGGTTCTTATGATGGTTCTTATGATGGTTCTTGTGATGGTTCTTGTGATGGTTCTTGTGATGGTTCTTGTGGTGGTTCTTGTGATGGTTCTTGTGTTTCCTGGGTTCTTATGATGGTTCTTGTGATGGTTCTTGTGATGGTTCTTGTGATGGTTCTTATGATGGTTCTTATGATGGTTCTTGTGATGGTTCTTATGATGGTTCTTATGATGGTTCTTATGATGGTTCTTGTGATGGTTCTTGTGATGGTTCATGTGATGGTTCTTGTGTTTCCTGGGTTCTTATGAGGGTTCTTATGATGGTTCTTATGATGGTTCTTGTGATGGTTCTTGTGATGGTTCTTATGATGGTTCTTATGATGTTCTTATGATGGTTCTTGTGATGGTTCTTATGATGGTTCATGTGATGGTTCTTATGATGGTTCTTGTGTTGCCTGGGTTCTTATGATGGTTCTTATGATGGTTCTTGTGATGGTTCTTATGATGGTTCTTGTGATGGTTCTTGTGATGGTTCATGTGATGGTTCTTATGATGGTTCTTATGATGGTTCTTGTGATGGTTCTTGTGATGGTTCATGTGATGGTTCTTATGATGGTTCTTGTGTTGCCTGGGTTCTTATGATGGTTCTTATGATGGTTCTTGTGGTGGTTCTTGTGATGGTTCTTATGATGGTTCTTGTGATGGTTCTTATGATGGTTCTTATGATGGTTCTTGTGATGGTTCTTATGATGGTTCTTGTGATGGTTCTTGTGATGGTTCTTATGATGGTTCTTGTGATGGTTCTTATGATGGTTCTTGTGGTGGTTCTTGTGATGGTTCTTATGATGGTTCTTGTGGTGGTTCTTGTGTTTCCTGGGTTCTTATGATGGTTCTTATGATGGTTCTTATGATGGTTCTTGTGTTGCCTGGGTTCTTATGATGGTTCTTATGATGGTTCTTGTGATGGTTCTTGTGGTGGTTCTTGTGTTGCCTGGGTTCTTATGATGGTTCTTATGATGGTTCTTATGATGGTTCTTGTGATGGTTCTTGTGATGGTTCTTGTGATGGTTCTTGTGTTTCCTGGGTTCTTATGATGGTTCTTATGATGGTTCTTGTGATGGTTCTTATGATGGTTCTTATGATGGTTCTTGTGTTTCCTGGGTTCTTATGATGGTTCTTATGATGGTTCTTGTGATGGTTCTTGTGGTGGTTCTTGTGATGGTTCTTGTGATGGTTCTTATGATGGTTCTTGTGTTTCCTGGGTTCTTATGATGGTTCTTATGATGGTTCTTGTGATGGTTCTTGTGATGGTTCTTATGATGGTTCTTGTGATGGTTCTTGTGATGGTTCTTGTGTTGCCTGGGTTCTTATGATGGTTCTTATGATGGTTCTTGTGATGGTTCTTGTGTTGCCTGGGTTCTTATGATGGTTCTTGTGATGGTTCTTATGATGGTTCTTATAACCAGCAGACTGAGGAACAGCTTTTTCCCCAGAGCTGTTTCTCTACTGAACTCTACCCCCCGAACTCTGAACTCTGTCTCTCTCTCTCTCTCCCTCTCTCTCTCTGCACCCTGCTGACCCCCCTTTCCCCTACATATCACCTCACACCCATCATCCCCCCACCACTCCTCCTGGTCACACACACACATCTCTCATCCACCTGTATTATTGTATTATAGTATGTTCATATTCTTTAAATTATCTGTAAACTTGTATAGCATGCTCACTGCATCTTATTCTGTATATTATTAGTATAGCATGCTCACTGCATCTTAATCTGTATATTATTAGTATAGCATGCTCACTGCATCTTAATCTGTATATTATTAGTATAGCATGCTCATTGCATCTTAATCTGTATATTATTAGTATAGCATGCTCATTGCATCTTAATCTGTATATTATTAGTATAACATGCTCACTGCATCTTAATCTGTATATTATTAGTATAGCATGCTCACTGCATCTTAATCTGTATATTATTAATATAGCATGCTCACTGCAACTTAATCTGTATATTATTAGTATAGCATGCTCACTGCATCTTAATCTGTATATTATTAGTATAGCATGCTCACTGCACCTTAATCTGTATATTATTAGTATAGCATGCTCACTGCACCTTAATCTGTATATTATTAGTATAGCATGCTCACTGCATCTTAATCTGTATATTATTAGTATAGCATGCTCACTGCAACTTAATCTGTATATTATAATCCTAAGAACACACTTATTTTGTAGCATTACTTATTTATAGCATTTATTTATATTTATTGCATCCCATTAATCCAGCCATCCAGATATACCTAATAATTCACTTTTTTTGTCTACATCTGTAAATTTTGTAATTACTGTACATAACACAGACTCTTGCACTTTCTGCTTATTTGCACTTCTGGTGAGATGCCAAACCTCATTTCGTTACTCTATACTTGTATATGTGTAATGACAATAAAGTTGAATCTCATCTCATCTCATTTTATGATGGTTCTTGTGATGGTTCTTGTGATGGTTCTTGTGATGGTTCTTCTGTGTTTGGTTTAGTTTGTTCTTGTTTTTGCTGTTTGTCAAAGCATTTTGTAAACCTGTGTTTTTAAAAGGTGCTGTATAAATAAAGTTATTATTATTATTATTATTCCCTTACATTTAGTTAATCTACTTTAAACCTACACTCTGCACATTAGACTTTGACACCTTTGACACTTTACACCTGTCTACACTTTGTTTATTTAAATATATATATATTTTTTAAGGTTTATTTTTAGGCTTTTTGTGTCTTTATTTTAGAGAAAGGACAGTGGCTAGAGAGAGAAATCAAGGAGGGAATGACATGCGGGAAAGAAGCCACATGTCGGATTTGAACTCGAGCCGCCCGCTTGGAGGACTCTGGCCTCCGTGCATGGAGCGCTCACTACATCTATATATTTATTTTTTTAATCTCATATTTTAACATTTACTCTACCATATGTTCTCAGCCTAATTTTTTTGTGTTTTGATTGCACGGCCTTTCCAATCAGTCATATTTCACTGCACATCTGTATGAGCATGTGGCAAATAATGATAATAATAATAATAACCTTGAATTAATTTTCATGATATCCTCTTCCTGCAAAAGCAAAATAATTTAATTTCCAAATGTTTAATGACCATTTTTATTCAGGTGAACTCTTCTGACACAGGTTTACCATTGATCATAATTACTGTAGATTCTGTGAGGAAGAAATAGAAACAACAATCATCCTTTTTTTCCCCACGGTCTTTACAGTGATCCGTTTGATTGGCTGAAATCAAAAATCTTTTAAGTCCCCCCTTTTTTTCAGAAATTGAACTACAACGGAGGACAAAACAATTAACTGCAGCAGTTTCCATGGCATGAAATATTCTGACTTTTCTTTTGCACTGATGATATTTATAACAAACTAAACGTACTTCTCTGTGTGCAGGTTTCCCTTCATGCAGTCGAGGATCAGATCATCTCTCAGAAAAGTGCCAGGCAGTGACGTTTCTTCTAACTCGTTTATTAAAAGATTCTTTTTACATAGTGTTAAATACAATCTCTGCAGAGCACCGAGCTCTGACAGCAGACGACGAGAAGAACAGATGAGAGAGTTTGAGTTCAAGTCCTTTCAACAGACCACCAGTACAATATATATATATCACTCTGTAATTACTTTAAACCCTGTCAGTGTGGACAGCTGTCATTTATTCATCTTCGGTTGGAAATAATAAAGAATAAATCAGAGGAAATGACTTGAATTCTTAGAATTTCTGTGCAAAACAGGGAGAGTCAGGAGCCAGCAGCTCGTCCACCGAGAGCAGGAGGAACAATCAAACAATCCAGGAAACCACGACTTCTATCTGCCATCAGGATGACCATGATGCATCTCTGGTGTGTACGTCAGGAGGACGATCATCACCCACAGGTGCAGGATCGCCTGGAAAAACAAGTTTTCATTTCTTTGATTATCCAGTACTCACACACACATTAACACACGTGATTAGCATCTGAAGAAGACGTCTCAAGCTAGAAACCTTCAGCTGGTGGGAACAAATGTGCAGAAACAAACATGAAACAACAAACTATTGGAAACACTACAAAGACTAAGAGAGCACAAAGTCAAAGTTGAAAACAAGAGAAGTCTGTTTTCTCTTCTGGTTTTTTTTTTCTTTTTTCTTCTTTATGCTCTGAAATGTCTTTTAATGTCAAAATAAAAAGTACTCACACACAAAGCACAACATGACAGTTCTTTAAATCCTCACCATGTACAGGATAACAAAAACTCTGGCTGCAGGGTAGCGTCTCAAGAAGATACCGAGTCTGATGCTGAAATGATAAAAAGTCCCATTAAAAACCACGGCTCATGTCCCACACAGGGAAACAGTATCAGTGAGGTCAAAGGTACCTGAAACGGTCGATGGTGCTGGCTGCCTTTCGTACTTGTCCGTAAACTCCCGGACTGTCCTGATCGCTGAACAGGATCGGTGTGTTTCTTTGTCGTGCCCCTGGAATATAAGAAACGTTATTGGTGCTGTATGAACGAGGATCCTGAAGTTTACATGCTGAGGATACATGTGTGAACGCAAACAGACAGATTTTTCACCAAGACTTTATACAGAATTTTTTCCTGCCAGGCCTGTTCTAAATGTTTCCTGTGAAGTCGGGGTGAGCTGATGTGCTCTCACAGTACGAGTTCAATCAGGGCGCAGCATTTACAATTGTCAATAAAGTTTTCTTCAAAAACTCCCGCTGACAGAGCAAGCTAACTAGAAGCTGAATCTTCCCTGTCAGCTTGTGGTCTGCAGATATTTCCTGATAACGTTTCTCTAGTTCAGATCTTCGGTGAACAGACATGTAAGACACATCAACCAGGCATGCCTGCTGTTACCATGGCGATTTCAGACAATGTTTGACAGCTTGCCCTGGCTCAATCTGTAGTCGTGGACTCAACACGTGGCTCTGCTCTCACTGTGGCACACTCTCTCTCTCCTGATAAACACTCGTACCTGGTCCCTCCAGACCGCTCATGTTGATGGCTGGCCCTCCGCTCTGTCCGCTCTGAGCGTTCTTCAGCTGCTGCTCCA